ACCTCTTCCACATAGGTTAATATTATTGAGCAAAGGCTTTGACATACAACCTAGAATATGTCTTACATCCTTGATGGATTCTTTCGTCCTCTTCCACACATGTTAACGTCATCGAGCAAAGGCTCTGACATACAACCTCAGATAGATCCTACATCCTTTATGGATTCTCTTGACCTCTTCCACACAGGTTAATGTCATCGAGCAGGACTCTGACTTACAACCTCGAAAAGGTCCTACATCCTTTGCGGATTCTTTTGACCTCTTTCACACATGTTAACGTCATCGAGCAGGACTCTGACATACAACCTCAGAAAGTTCTGACATCTTTAGTGGATTTTCTCGACCTCTTCCACACAGGTTAACGTCACCGAGCAGGGCTCTGACATAGAACCTTAGAAAGGTCTTACATCCTTGGTGGATTCTCTCGACCTCTTCCATACAGGTTAACGTCAACAAGTAAGGCTCTGACATACAACCTCGGATAGGTCTTACATCCTTGGTGGATTCTCTCGACCTCTTCTATACATGTTAACGTCATTGAGCAAGGCTATAACATACAATCTCGGATAGGTCCTACATCCTTTGTGGATTCTCTCGACCTCTTCCACTCAGGTTAACATCATAAAAATATCATTGGGTTAATACCCATTGTCAGACTTCTGTCTAACGCCAAGCTTCTTCCTGTTATCGGAATTATACCTAACATAAGTTTTATCAGACCTTTTCCCAATATAGAGCTTCCTCGCATCATTGGACTTCTACATGACACTGGAATTCTCCCCGTCATCATACTTTTATTGGGATTCTGCCCAACGCAAAGCTTACTCTCATTGTTAAACTTCTACACGACATCGGTATTCTCTCTATCATCGAGCTTTCATTGGGATTTTGCCCAACACAGTTTCTAGCCATCGTCGGAGTTTTGCCCGATGATGTACTTTCGTCGGTCTTTTATCCGACGTAGTACTTCTATCTGATGTTGGACTTCTGCATGTTGTCGGACTTCTGCCTGCCGTCGGACTTCTACCGGTCGCCTGAGTTCTGTCCGACGATGTACTTTTGTCGGTCTTCTACCCGATGTAGTACTTCTACCCAACATCGAACTTCTATATGTTGTCAAACTTCTACCCGACGTCGGACTTCTGCCTGCCGTCGGATTACTACCCGTCATCAAACTTCTGCCCATCGATGGACTTTCATCGGTCTTCTACCCGACTCAGTACTTCTACCCGACGTCGAACTTTTGCCTACCGTCGGACTAATACCCGTCGTCTAACTTCTGTCCGTCGATGGCCTTTCGTCAGTCTTTTACTCGACGTTGTACTTCTACTCGACGCCAGACTTGTGCCTGTCATCGGACTACTATCAGTCATCGGACTACTGCCCGTTGATGGACTTTCGTCGGTCTTCTACCCGACTCAGAACTTCTACCCAACGTCGGACTTCTACCTACCGTCATACTTCTACCGGACGTCAGACTTCTACCCGTCGTCAGACTTCTGCCACTTGATCAACTTTTGCCATACTTCTACCTAATATCGTACTTCTAACTAATGTCAAACTCCTGCCTATTGACAGACATTCTTCGAGCTTCTACCTGATGTTGAATTTCTACCCGTCATCGTACTTCTCCCCGACATCAGAATTCTACTCGACGCCAAATTTCCACCCTTCATCGAATTTTTGTCAGTTATTAGGCTCCTACCTGACGTCAGATTTATGCCCGTCATTTCAACCTTCCTCCATACAATGGTCTCTCTAATCTCGACCGCCCACTATCAGGCGGGACGGCAGGATTTTCCCTGATTGTGGAATCTCTCGATGAAAAGTGGTCGCTCGACATTACTCCAGTATAGGGAGGGGCCCTGTTGTTGGACAATGGATGCTAATTATCCAAGAGCAGAGGAAGGTCTCCCGTATAGCTAAGAGCGCCGAAGGGAATAAGGGAGGTAATCCGGACTCTAGTATAGGGAGGGGCCCTGCTATTTGACAATGGATTCCAATTGTCCAAAGGTAGGAGAAAGCCTCCCGTATAACAAGAGCGCCGAAGTGAAAGGAAGAAACATTCTTCTCGTAAAGAGGGGCCCTACTATTGGACAATGGATGCCAATTATCCAAAGGTAGAGGAAGGCCTCTAATGAAAGAAGAGAGGATGAGAGGAGGTGCAAAGTGTTTATACCCCTTAGGGGGGTATTTATAAATGGGAGAAGGGTAAAAAAAAAAATTTATGTAGTGGTTATTGTAGCAACCGCAAGTTATGCTGTAGCAGATGGATCCTGTAGCAACCACAATCGGTCACTGTAGCAACCACAAAAGGGGTACTATAGCAATCATAGTTATGCTGTAGTAGATGGCTTTTATAGCAACCGCAACCGGGGACTGTAGGAACCGCAAGTTACAATGTAGAGGCGGGTACTGTAGAGAGCAGAACTGTAGCATTTGGCACTGTAGCACGGCGGTTACTGTAGCAATCGAGAAGAAAATACTTTTGTTTTTAAAGCAGCCAACGGTTGCTTCTGCTAACCAAGCACTCAAAGGGGCGTGATCTCTCGTCGCTGGCGGCCGGCCGGCCATATGGCTCATTCAGTCGTCTAAACGTGTTTGGTCCCAAATTTCCACCCCGGACGGTACAAATTGGACATTTTTTATATCCCTGAATAGGTTTTTCAGCGTTTCGGATCCAATTTTAACACTTTCAGAGCTTGACGGAACCTCTATAATCGAGTTTGAGTAAATTTATATTTTCTCAAAAAGAAATTTTCTGACATTTTTTACAATTCAATCAATTGTAAGTGTTGTACAATATATTTTCGAACTCTATAAGCTTCGACATCCAAAAATTGGGGGGGGGGGGCATCTGATATGTCATCAAAACATTATCTTGATTGGGCACGAATCTCGAAACAAAATCAAGTTGGAAACTTTAAAAATTAATTCGGAGACCATCGTAACTTCGATTTCATCAAACTTACAGTTGAACTGAGCGTCTCGGAAATATGAACCCAAAGACACCAAATTCAACCCAATCCGAACATAAATGGGTCCAAATTAAGGACCCGCAGAGCTATTGGAAGGTTCAAACCATAATTTGGATTACCAAACGGTTTCCAAACATAACAAACTTATAGTTGAATTGAGCGGCTCAACGAGACGAATCCAACGAACCCAAGATCATTGAATTCCGACATCACTAAGACATTCAAATGTCCATCAAATAGTTCATGATCAAGGGATTCAAGACCAGCCATCCATCGAACCACTCCCAACTTACCCTTGATCCTCCACCTATTTAGGGGTCATGCCACTCCAGAAATCTATAAATAGAGCTCCCTCTCCTCTTGAAAGAGGACCCTCAGAAGCCTAAGAAAAAAGAGAGAGATCAGAGATTGCTCTTGCTTCCTTGCGTCCTCGACCACCGCCAGAGTTCTGTCGGACCACCACTTAAGTCCCTCACCTCCGTTGGACCACGGCCTGACGCTGTTGCTCCCCCGAACCACCACTTGAGGCCCTCACCTCCGCCGGACCAACGCCTGATGTCGTTGCTTCGTCGGACCACCACTTAAGGCCCTTACCTCCGCCGGACCACCGCTTGATGCCGTTGTTCCGTCAGACCACCACTTAAGGCCCTCACCTCCGCTGGACCACCGCCTGATGCTGTTGCTCCGCCAAACCACCACTTGAGGCCCTCACCTTCGCCGGAACACCGCCTGACGCCGTTGCTCTACCGAACCACCGCATAACGTCGTTGCTCCACTGAACTACCACTTAAGGCCCTCATATCCGTCGGACCACCATATGACGCCCTTGCTGTGCCGAACCATCACATAAGGCCCTCGCCTCCACCGGACCACCGCCTGACGTCGTTGCTCTGTTGGACACCACTTGAGGCTCAAACTTCTACCGGACCACCATCTAAGGCCCAGACTTCCACTGGACCACTACCTGAGGCTCGGACTTCCGTCGTACCACCACTTAAGATTCTATGCTCCACCAGGCCACTACCTGAAGCTCGGACTTCCGCCAGACTGTCACTTGAGGCCCTGAGCTCCACCAAGTAATCACCTGATGTCCGGAGTTCTACCGAAGTACCATCCTTCTACTACGGTCTTTCAGACTCCTATCTCCTGCCGACTATGGTCCTCCCGACCTCCATCGCCTACTATGGTCACTCCGACCTCCATCACTAGACAACGATCTTTCAAACCCCGGTCTCCTACTAACTATGATATTTCAGACCCCGGTCTCCTACCAACTACGGTCTTCCAGACTCCTATCTCCTACCGATTACGGTCCTCCTGACCTCCGTCACCTACTATGGTCACTCCGACCTCCATCACTAGACAACGATCTTTCAGACCCCTGTCTCCTGCTAACTATGGTCCTTCTGACCTCCATCACCAGACACCGGTCTTTCGGACCCCGATCTCCTGCCGACTACGGTCCTCACGACCTCTGTTGCCTACTACGGTCCTTCTGACCTACATCGCCAGATAATGATCTTCCTGATCTCAATCTCCTACCAATTACGGTCTTTCGGACCCCCGTCTTGTGCCAACTACGGCCCTTCCAACCAAACAAACATGTATATTATTGTAACTCCCACTATGTAATGCGCTCTGTATGATATACATTTGTACCATCAAGCCAAGGCCTTCTCCCAAGGAAGGGCCTCATTTATAATCGACTGCAAATACTAGTGGATTCATTCAAACTGGGCCAGGCCCCATGGGTTTTCCCCCTTTTTCAGGGTTTTCCACGTAAAAACTCTGGTGTCTTTTATGAATGCTACATCATCTCTCTTATCTGATTGTGTGCTGGATCTTCATACAATGCTAAGACGTTAAATTATATATTTCTCTATCGTCGCGAATACTCCAGGACGCAGCAACTTTTTTTTTTTTTTACTTTTTGGACGTCTTTGTTGGGAGAAATTATTATTTAAAGTTCAAACCATTAGAGGGGGGACAATTTGATAAGTAGTCTCTACAACAACTCCACTGAAAGCTTTCAAGACATGGACAAACTTCCATTTTATTCCAATGACGAGAACACACACCAAGCAAGGAAATTAAAAACATGCTTGAGACACATTCATCCAGCATTCATATGCATGCTTGTCTTATTCATTATTCATTATTTATTAATATGCATAAATATAAAACCAAGACTATTCATCTCCAATAACCTCCATAATTTTCACCATTTCCTTCACGTTATTTTGCTCTTCGACTGAAACTCCTGTTGTCCCATTAAATGCAGCGGTGATAACAACATCATTGGATTCATAAGTCTTCATAGGAGACCAAAAGCTTGGACCGTATACAAAAACATTATGGTCCCTTTGTAGTATGAGGATATATTTTCCCACTGGTCCATTAGGTCCTCTGTTCCAGACAATACCTTTAAAGTTAAAGATCATGAGGTTACCGTGCTCCATTAAGGTGACATAGCAACCAAAAGCAACACCTCCGGTGTCTGAAGACCATTTCTTTACTCCAGAGTTGTAGAGGACGAGGTTGCAATCTTGTTGCATAATAAACTTGTCATCACCATCTACGAGGGCTTCTCCTGCCATTAGGCTCTCACCACCGAGCAAGTAGTTGGAGCCCTTGCCTGAGGCAGGGGTAGTGAGAAGGAGTGAGAGGGAAGTAGTGCAAAGGAGAAGGACCTTGATCATGGAGAAGAAAGCCATGATTAATTAAGTAGAGAGTTTGCTTGCTTGGTTTTGATGGGTTGGGGTGGGATATCTATTTATAGTGGAGACTAGAGAGCCATATGAAGACTAGCAAGAGATGTTAGAGATAAGCTCATACGTGATATATTTTAATAGGCTATAACTCTTGAAATGAAACAAATAAATTAAAAGATAAAATTAATCTAATCAAAGTCATGATTTTTTTATCTAATTTGTATCATGTGTTTGAGTTCTTACAACTAACTGCATCTCACATATATGTGTAGAAATTATTGATGCTCAACTTTCAATTGTTTGAATATATATGATGAAATAGAAAATAAGTGAAATGAAAAATTTGATTTTGTTTTTTTTTTTTTTTTGTAGATTTAAATTTATTTTAGTTAAAATATATGCTCATAGTAAAATATAAATAAAATAAATCATATATGTTGAAGTATATTTTACACATAGAAATATTATATAATAATAGTCTAAATTAACATTTTGGGATAACTTTCTTACTATTTTTTTTTTTTAAATCATAATCATAATTTTTATTTGATTACTATTTTTTACTTCTTTTAAATCTTTATACTAAAAATTTATTTTATACAATTAAGTAAAAAAATTATTTTCTCTATAATAATTTCATAATCTATTTTATAAAATTACAGTCATCATAATTAGATTTTAAGATTTCATCATGTAAAACGTGCAAACAAGTACATCTATGATGAGACCCCATAGAAACCTACATCGTATGAGAGCTCGAACTCAAGTCAAACTCGACTTGTGACACTGTACCGAGCTGAACGAGCCACTCGTCCAACCACTCAATTTTGAGCCTCGTTGCGTTGGTTTTTCGCTCAGATTCCCGCCTGGTTTTCATTTTCCCACTCGATTTTGCCACATTGGACAGCCAGCAGAGAAAAGAAGCATGTAGTTTTGGGAGAAAAGAAGCACTATAAAAGGTTTAGGCTCAATAATTAATGCTGCTGCTTCTGCATTTATTAAAGCTGCACTATAAATTTTTTTTTGAAACCCACAGCTTTTAAAGCTACTGCATGCATTTACTAGCATCGAAATTTGAGAAATTTTTTATTAACCCGGGTGTTAGATTTGAACTTAATTTTTTTTAAATTTGTAAGTGTAATAAAAATATTTATAATTTAAAAAAAAAATCAAATATTAATTCGAGCCGGCTCGCGAGCTTACGAGCGGAGCTTAAATAAGCTCAAACTTGAGCTCGTTTATTAAATGAGCTCGAGCTCAACTCGTGAGCTCGATAAGCTCGTGTCATAAACAAATCGAGTTGAGACCATCATCCAGGATCATGTTTGTTGCGTCCTGGAGTATTCACAGCGGTAGAGAAAATATATAATTTAACAACTTAGCATTGTACGAAGATCCAGCACACAATCAGATAAGTGAGAGGGTGTAGCATTCATAAGAGACATCAGAGTTTTTACATGGAAAACCCCTGAAAAAGGGGGAAAAACCCCGGGGCCTGGCCAAGTTTGAATGAATCCACTAGTATTTGCAGTTGATTACAAATGAGACCCTTCCTTAGGAGAAGGTCTTGACATGATGTTACAAATGTACATCATATAGAGCACATTACATGGTGGGAGTTACATATACCTGTTTGTTTAGTCGGCATGACCATAGTCGATAGGTTGGAGGCCAGAAAGACCGTTGTCTGGTGATGGAGGTCGGAAGAACCATAGTAGGTGATGCAGGTCGGAAGGACCGTAGTCGGCAGGAGACAGGGATCTAAAAGACCGTAGTCGATAGGAGACCAGGTTCTGAAAGACTATAATAGGAGGGCGATACTTCTATAGAAGTTCGGGTGTCAGGTGGTGGCCTAGTGGAGCTCAGGGCCTTGAGTTGTAGTTCGGAGGAAGTCCGGACCTCAGGTGGTGGTCCGGCGGAGTCCAGGCCTCAAGTGATTGTCCGGGCCTTAGGTGGTTGCCTGATGGATCGCGGGGCCTTAAGTGGTGGTCCGGAAGAAGTCCGGGCCTCAGGTGGTGGTCCAGCGGAGCAACGGCGTCAGGCGGTGGTTCGGCGGAGGTGAGGGCCTCAATTGGTGGTCCGGCGGAGCAACGCTCTTAGGCGGTGGTCCTGCAGAGGTGAGGGCCCCAAGTGGTAGTCCGGCGGAGCACAGGGCGTCACGCGGTGGTTCGACGGAGTCTGGGCCTCAAGTGGTTGTTTGACGGAGCACAGGGCGTCAGGCGGTGGTTCGGCAGAGGTGAGGGCCTCAAGTGGTGGTCCGGCGGAGCAACGGCGTCAGGCGGTGGTCCGGCGGAGGTGAGCGCCTCAAGTGGTGGTCCGGCGGAGCAATGGCGTTAGGTGGTAGTCCGACAGAGGTGAGGGCCTCAAGTGGTGGTCCGGCGGAGCAACGACGTCAGGTGGTGGTCCGGTGAAACTCCAGCGGTGGTCGAGGAGGCAAGGAATCAAGAGCGATCTCCGATCTCTCTCCTTCTTTCCTTAGGCTTAGGGTCCCTTTTCATGAGGAGAGGGAGCTCTATTTATAGATTTTGGGAATGGCATGGCCTGTAAATAGGTGAGAGATCAAGGGTAAATGGGGAGTGGTCGAATGAACGGTCGATGTTGAATCACTTGATCATGCATTGTTCTTTAGAAATTTGAAGACCTTAATGATGTCGGAATTCAGCGATCTTGGGTTCGTTGGATTCGTATCGTCAAGCCCCTAGATTTGAATATAAGCTTTTTATGTTTGGAAACCGTTTGATAATCCAAATTGTGGTTTGAACCTTCCAACAGCGCTTCGGGTCCTTGATTTGGACCCATTTGGGCTCGGTTTCAGTTGAATTTGGTGTCGTTGAATTTGTATTTTCGAGATGCTCAGTTCGACTGTAAGTTTGTTGAAATCAGAGTTCGGATGGTCTTTGAATTAATTTTTGAAGTTTCTAATTTGATTTTGCATCGAGATTCGCGCCCAATTAAGATAATTTTTTGACGACGTATCAGTTGTCCCCATATTTTCGGACGTCGATGCTCCATAAGTCTGAAAAAATATGTGTCAACATTTTATACTGGGTGAAACGAAAAAAATTACTTTCCAAAAATCAAAACCTTGCTCAAACGTTATCATAGAGGCCTCGTTGAGCCTCGAAAGTGTCAAAATTGAGTCCGGAACGTCGAAAAATGTGTCTGGAGACCCCAAAAACGTCCAATTTGGACTGTCTGGGCCAAAAATCAGGCCCAGACACGCTTAGGCGACCGAACCGGCCGGTTGGCCGGTGCCGGCGGTTGCGCCCGCCCCGCGCGGGCGCGCGGTCTTCTTTGAGCAGCCGGCTGCATTTTTTTTTATATATATTGAATCTGCATAGGCGGTTTTAGAAAAACCATCTGGGTGGGCGGTTTGCCAAATCGCCCACCAATTTTTTATTTTTTAGGAGAGAGAGAACTCTTTTTTTTTTTGAGAGAGTAAGAGAGAGGGAGAGTGGGAGAGAGGGAGAGTGGGAGAGTTTTTTATTTTTATTATTATTTTTTTTTTCTCCCATAACTTCCCCTCTAGCCTATAAATAGACCTTTCATAGGGCCTTAATCCTTGCACCTTCTCCTTCTCCTCTCTTCTCTCATCAGAGACCTTCTCTGCCCCTTGGATAATTGGTATCCATTGTCTAACAGCAGGGTCCCTCTTTGCGAGAAAGAGCCTTCTTCTTCTCCTTTCTTCTCTCGTTAGAGGCCTTCTCTGCTCCTTGGACAATTGGTATCCATTGTCAAACAGCAGGGCCCCTCTTTGCGAGAAAGAGTCTTCTTCCTCTCCCTTCGGTGCTCCTGCTATACGGGAGGCTTTCCCTCGCCCTTGGTTAATTGGTATCCATTTTCCAACAGCAGGGCCCCTCCCTATACTGGAGTAATGTCGGGCGACCACTTTCCTTCGAGAGATTCTGCGATTAGGAGAAATTATGTCGTCCAGTCTAACGGTGGGCGAAGGCCTGACAAAGGAGCGAGGGCAGAAAGTTTTTCGTCTGGTAGAAATATTGAGTCGGAAAGAAGACCGACGAAAGTTCATCGACGGGCAGTACTTTGACGACATATAGAAGTTCGTCGTCGAGTTGAGATACATCGTTGGGTAAAAGACCGACGAACGTCCATCGACAGGCAGAAGTCCGACGGCAGGAAGAAGTCCGGCGCCGGGTAGAAGCACTAACTCGGGTAGAAGACCGATGAAAGCCCATCGACGAGCAATAGTCCGTCGACAAGTAGTAGATAGACGACATGCAGAAGTCCGACGTCGGGTAGAAGCACTGAGTCGGGCAGAAGGCCGACGAAAGTCCATCGACGGACAGTAGTCCGTCGACAGGTAGTAGTAGGGAGGAAGACAGAAGTCTGGCGTCGGGTAGAAGACCGATAAAAGTCCATCGACGGGCAGTAGTCTGTCGAGAAGTAGTAGTCTGATGGAATTCAGAATTCTGACGTCGGGTAGAAGCATTGAGTCGGGTAGAAGGCCGATGAAAGTCCATTGACGGGTAGTAGTCCATCAGCAGGTAGTAGTACGACGGCAGACAGAAGTCTGACGTTGGGTAGAAGTACTGCGTCAGGTAGAAGACCGATAAAAGTCCATCGGCGGGCAGTAGTCTGTTGACAAGTAGTAGTCTGACGGCATACAGAAGTCTGACGTCGGGTAGAAGCACTGAGTCAGGTAAAAGACCGACGAAAGTCCATTAACGGACAGAAGTCCGACGACGGGTTTTAGTCCGACGGCAGGAAGAAGTCCAGCGTCGGGAAGAAGCGCTGAGTCTGGTAGAAGACCGACGAAAGACCATCGACGGGCAGTACTCCGACGATAAGTAGAATTACGATGATAGGTAAGAGTCCAACGTTGGGTAGAAGTACGGCCTCGGGCAAAAGACTGATAAAAGTTTGTCGACGGGCAGAAGTCCGGCGATGAGTAGAAGTCTGCTGATGAGCAGAAGTCCGATGATGGGTAGTTGTCCAATGACGCGCAGAAGTCCAACGTCGGAGAAGTCAGATGGAAGTCCATTGATGGCATTCTAGCGATGTTAACCAAGGATGTAAGACCTATCCAAGATTGTATGTCAGAGCTTTTGCTCGATGATGGTAAACTATATTTGATCCACTAATAATGTAAGACCTATCCCAGATTGTATGTCAGAGCCTTTGCTCAATGATGGTAAACTATATTTGATCCACTAATGACGTAAGTCATATCCGAGGTTGTATGTCAGATCCTTTGCTCGATGATGGTAAATTATATTTGATCCACTAATGATGTAAGACCTATTCGAGGTTGTATGTCAGAGTCTTTGCCCGATGACATTAACCTGTATGGAAGAGGTCGAAAGAATTCACCAAGGATGTAGGATCTATCTGAGGTTGTATGTCAGAGCCTTTGCTCGATAACGTTAACATGTGTGGAAGAGGTCGAGAGAATCAACTAAGGATATAGGACCTATCCAAGGTTGTATGTCAGAGCCTTTGCTCAATGACGTTAACCTGTATGGAAGAGGTCGAGAGAATCAACTATGGATGTAAGACATATCTGAGGTTATATGTCAGAGCCTTTGCTTGATGACGTTAACCTATGTGGAAGAGGTCGGGAGAATCCACCAAGGATGTAAGACCTATCCAAGGTTGTATGTAAGAGCACTGCTCGATGACGTTAACCTGTGTGGAAGAGATCGAGAGAATCCACCAAAGATGTAAGACCTATCCGAGGTTATATGTCAGAGCCTTTGCTCGACGACGTTAACCTGTGTGGAAGAGGTCGAGAGAATCTACCAAGGATGTAGGACCTATCCGAGGTTGTATGTGAGAGCCCCGCTTGATGACGTTAACATGTGTGGAAGAGGTCGAGAGAATCCACAAAGGATGTAAGACCTATCCGAGGTTGTATGTCTGAGCCTTTACTCGACGACGTTAACCTGTAAGACCTATCCGAGGTTGTATGTTGGAGCATTTGCTTGACGACTTTAACATATGTGGAAGAGGTTGAGAGAATCCACCAAGGTGGTAGGACCTATCCGAGGTTGTATGTTAGAGCGCCGCTCGATGACGTTAACGTGTATGGAAGAGGTCGAGAGAATCCACTAAAGATGTAAGACCTATCCAAGGTTATATGTCAGAG